CAAAAATCATAACGGAGTTTCCAAACGCAAATAACCTCATGATTCAATTTTATGCCGGCAAGGGGTTTGATATTACGACCACGAAGGCAGTAACAAAATTTATTGTACAAACAACTTGGAAATTTCGCTTGTAAATATTATAATGGAATTTTAAGCGCAGAAGCGATACCACCAGGCGATCAAAGAACAGTAATTTCTCGAATTACCAGTCACAGTACGTTATATTACACTCTGGCACGATAAACTTTTTACTTTCCCACGAAAATAACAGTTATATACGAGGCTGAAGCACGTAATGCGTGACAATTGAATATTTCCATGGATATTGGTAATATTGGAAAATTTAAATAAGTAAAGTTAATGTGCTTCGAGAGAATAATTGCAATTTTATGTAGGAAAATGTCAGGCTGATTTCGAAGTTGCTAACTCTTTTATAAATGAGAATGTATATATTCGAATACGTTATAAATTTGATATAAACAAACATTATTCGCGTATAAACGAATTGAATTAGATTCCATATTTAATTACTTCCTTGTACATTCATTCAATTACATTTACGTAGGATTAATGTACAAAGTAAAGACCTCGAATTTATTTAATTTAATTATTTAATATTTTTTATCGCTACTTGTATTTTACAAAATTATTCACGTGTTACACTTTACGTGCCTTATTCTACCCTTAGGTAATTATTACAGAATAGCAATGAAGCTTTAAACAGAGTGAATTACACAGTTTACATCAAACTTACATAATCTATCAGTAGATTACCAAATACTAGTGGATAAACGAGAATAAAATGTAAATTTATGAAATACTATGAAATACTTAAATCTGATTTGAATAACGTGTTTAAAAGAACGTAAAGAAGCTGTTGTCAAGATACCTGTTTTCTTCTTAAGAAATAGAAAATATATTTGGGACTTGAAAAATTCGATGATCTCTACAGACTAACCATTTACCCTTGAAAAACTTTTACTCATCGTTCGATTTTCTATAGCCACTTACACGTATGCAAAATTAAAAGATTATTCATTATACGAGTAATACTATTCGATAAAAATTGAATTAAAAATTATAAAATTCATTATAACAAGATTTCACAAAAAATAATTATTAAAATTCCAGAAAAATAGATTATCAATTATCTACCAATAAAAATCGTTTATCTTTAAAAATAGAGATTTCATAAATCATTATTTTACTTCTTTTAAATACAAAAATATTTAATTCCAATTTTAATAAAGACTAGAATGAGCTAAAAATAAATAATTAAACTGACTACAAGTCTGATTATTACTATATTAAAATTAAAGTACTATATTAACCCCTTGCACTCGAGAAGCGACTCTCGGTCGCCATTTAATCAGATTCTAAAGATCGTTATTAATTAATATATCAAATTCAAAATTGCCCAATGACGCGTGGAATATCGACGTAAAATAATTCTGTATCTTAAATTGTATACGATTTCTTATTTACCGTTTTAACCCTTTGCACTCGACGATTTTTTGGCTAAAGAAGGATATGAGTTTAAATATTTTCTGTTACAAAACTGACGATATTTTTCTGAGCAGGAATAAGAAATCGTATGATAATTAACACGTAGAACTATTTGATTTCGATACCTCGCACACTGTTTCATTATCTGAAATTTGACATATTTATGAATATGGAGCTTCGAAACTTTATCAAATGGCAACTGAAGGGCACCTCTCGAGTGCAAAGGGTTAAAAATATCGTCGACCTTATGGTAGGAAGTCTTCGAATTGCTATGTTTCTGTAACGAAAAGATCACTGATTGTGAGTGCAAAGGGTTAAAGTACTATATTAAAATTGTTATAATCGTTAATCATTCATATTATTTTCTAAATCCTTCACCAGCACCCTTTTAACTGCTACCATAGGACAAAGAAGACCCAGGTTCGATTGGATTCGCGCGCAAAGGGTCGAAGATCGATGTCACTCTTTCGTTCTCGTTTCCATCGTGACGTTTATCGCGGATTCCGACTGTGCGATGCATTAGATTAGAGGGGCATTAGTATTCGCGATGGCGATTCGTACACACCGAACGTGATATGGCGCGGGGCACGATGCACAGTGTACAGCACGATGTCAAAGGATCTAGACCCGCTCTATAGATACGATGTAATACAACGCGAACGTGTAATCACTGCCAGTTGCGACGGTTGTGTACATATATTTTGACACATGTTACGTAGCCACGAAAGCCACATCACTCAAACCGAATGGGGTAATCGTTATTGCGCGAAATTTGATGGACTGTTACTCCGAAATCCTGGCCTGCCGCGCAATGCATCGACCGGCATTTGTCATGGGAGTTCTTGTTAGCGGGGCTTTCCCACTTGGGTTCTACTGTTACCGATCGATGCTTCTGCTTTTTCCCCGTCAAACGTATTTAAATCTCGCGTTCTTCGAGCTTCCTAGGGTCAGAGAGGTAGGTGACCCTATCAGACAGATAGGTGATCCTTTACGTCTGCCTTTGAGAAGTCAGTGATGCTTTATTGGCGAGTTTCAATTTCTGCACAATGTCAGGAAACTGTTTTTGAATGGATATTTCATCGTATTTTTAGTCATTTTATGATTCTAGTTAATACGGTTATAATATATAAGTTAAATACATTGAATTGTTTTACGAAAATTCTACGGTGTGGCTATTAAGTAAAAGGAGGGAGCAATAGTAGAAGCTTGAATAAGAAGAGTAATCTATTTTAGAAATATTGTAATTTGCTAGGAAGAAAACTACCAAAAAATAAAAATCACATTAGTAAATTTTGTGTTCTTATATAATTAAAAAGAGAGGAGCTTATTTGCACCATATTGCCATAATATTTAATAATTTCTTTTACAAAAATCCTAATATATTTCTAAATTAGAAAGAGGGAGAGATAAAGGGGGCTTGAATAAGAAGATTTAGGTAATATTTTAAAAATACTGTAATTTCCTAGAAAAAAGACTACCAAAAAATAAAAATCACATTAGTAAATTTTGTGTTATTGTATAATTAAAAAGGGAGGAATTTATTTGCACCATACTGTCAATATTAAATAATTTCTTTTACAAAAATCCTAATATATTTTTAGATGAGAAAGAGGGAGAGATAGAGGAGGCTTGAATAAGAAAGGTAATCTATTTTAGAAATATTATAATTTGCTAGAAAGAAAATTACCAAAAAATAAAAATCACGTTAGTAAATTTTGTGTTATTATATGCTTAAAAAGGGAGGAATTTATTTGCATCATACTGTCATAAAATTTAATAAATTCTTCCATTACATCAAAATTGTTTGGGTAATGAAAGATTACTTACAATTGAGTACGTTTTCAAACAAATTACATTAGAACAGTCGCAAAGTGACAAAAATACGATTAAATATCCGAACCTAAATCACCGAATATTTTACCACAGCTATCTGTTCGTGTAGAAAATTTAAATATAGGCGATAATTTATTTAGCGGCCATAAATTTCGTTTTCAAATTATCCGGGGACCAGTGATTAAGGCAGAAGCAAATTTTTAGGACCTACGTAATTCAACTTACTTTACATACTATAATTGCAAATTGTTGGCTACTATTCATTAAAAATTCACTCAATTATAATAACTGCGTTATAACATATTTTAAAACAAATTTATAAAGGCCGACTGCGTATAGCCTGAACCATTGCGCTGAATCCAACCGAACGAAATTACGCAAAATATCTCTGCCGAAATAACCCATTAAAATTCCCTCTTAATTATCTCGAAAATCCAGAAATCCGCGATAACGTTTCATAACACCCGCCGTTCAGTCCACAGTTCACAATACCCGCCGCACCGATACACGTCGAAGGGAAGTTGAATTACACCGTGGAGAAATCTAAATTATTGATAGGTGATTAAACTTTTAGCGTCTCGACATGGCCAGAACGCCGCAGGCCGTCTCGAACAAAGCCAAATCCATTGAGATCGAAGGCTTTTGAAAGGCGGAAAAGTGGGAGGGTGGCGGCGGTCTGGAAGCGAAGAATACCAACGTTTCGACCGGGGATAGTTTAAGAAAGCTTTCATACAGATATCAAAAGGAACTCGCGAAATAACGTCCACGACAATGGGGCAAACTCACCGTCGTCCTTTCCTCGGCCCGCCAGTTTCGAACGCACAATGCGATAAATGCATCGCCAGTCACTTATAAACTAGCACCTTAAACAACCCCCACGTTTGAAATTTCGCCGCGAGTATACCTCGACCTATCGAACAGTTCGAGGATCAATCTCGCGTCTCTCGTACGTTTCTAAAAGAAATTTTCTCCATCATCCCGGAATTATTTTATCGCAGATCCACGCGAGATTTATTAAAGTTATTTAATTCGAGAGATCGCGAGATTTAATTGTCTTTTAGAGATACAGCGATGTAGCGCGTGATTCGGAGATTTATGCGAGTTTTAATTATTCTTTTAGAGATTTTATGAACGAGTGATTAATCACCTCACTGTGAATATTTATGTTATAATTATTGGAGGAAGAATATAAAATGCCGTGTATTATTTTTAAAATTCTTTTTAAGAAATTTACTTTTTAGAACAATTGGGTAGAGGGTAATGATTCGATCCGAAATTAATATTCACGTTTTCCTCTCGTTCGATCGACCCCTTTCGAACAAAAGATCGCCTTTCGAGCTTGTCCCTGTCGATCCCGATTAATTCGCGACGGATTGATCCGCGCCGAGGCGTTTAACGAATTCACATCGGAAGTAACCGTGATTGTTTGCGGCAGACAATGGTGAATAGATGATGAACAGATGATGAATAGATGACGAAGATGCGGTAGTAAGACACGTTATCGTCGTACGATTCACACAGTCGTTTCGGTCCGTTCGTGGGACCGATTGTCGCTGTGTTTGATTATCTACCACTAATGAAGGAAAAAAGAGAGAAATATACGATACAAAGAATTAAAAAGAAAAAGAGATGAAAAAAGGGAAGACCAATCAAGCACTGACCTCGAGGAAGTCCTTCACCGTGGTATCGACAACCATAAGAGGTCGTTGAATCAAGTGGACCACGCCATTGCGCACGGGGATGTTCGCTTTAATTATTTCTGCCAACACGACTCCAGTAGGATGACCAGCGTCGCCAACTAGGGTATTCGATTGCACGTAAACTGAAAATAACGTTTCCAATTATCGATCAGAAGTACGCATTATGCTTCCAAGAATGGTTTGCTTTGGAATCGACATAATGAGTTTGATTGCGAAATTAGAATGGTTGCTGGGATAAATTCAAAGGTGAATAATTGCTGTCATTAATTAATAATTACTTGCACAACGACTTAATTAACACTAGAACTATCAATCCAGTGAAAATGACTGGTCCCAGAATTTTCCTTTTTGAAAATCTCAAATTCTCAGAACTTTTTGCAATCACCGAACACATACACCTGCTTTAAGAATAAAATTGGTATCAACTCGTATTAAGAAAGAACTGTAATCAATATATTCATCCCATATTCATCGTATCGCTGAAATTACTATAATCTGTGCATGTTATAGTTAGGTACACATTAAAGATCGGTAGTTCTAGTGTTAAGAAAAATTGTACGTGTATTTGTAATTGTATTTAATTGCTATTTAACTATTCCATTCGTGACAAAATTGGGTGAAATTTTTAGAAATTTTTCGAGTTTTGTACGTGTTGAAATTTGTGAAATTTTGTAGTAGAAACTTAGTAAAAAGTATAGTCTTATAATCGTGAAATTTGACACGAAGAATTCGTGACGAGTTGGACTCGTCATTGCTATGCAAAGGATTAATAGATAATGGCTACATAAATATTTTAAAATTTGTAAAAATGGTGTATAATATTTTAAAATTATTTATAGGTAATTTAAATTTTCGTAATATGATCTCTGTTAAATTTTTGAATTTGTAATGTTCCTTCAACTATACCTCATAAAAAAAGAAATTGATTTTAGTATACTTTATTCAACAATAAGTACAGAAATGGTATTTTCCCT